TCGAGCCAAAAGCTCTTCTTCTCGGAACCTTCTGGCGCTCCGGGACACGCCTCTAACACTTGGGAAGTGCTACGGAAAAGAAGAGAGGGTTTGGGGGTATTGGGAGAGAGAGGATAAGAAAGGTGTGAAGAAAATGAGAGATTTGCGCCTCTATTTCTAGGTTGTCTGGGGGCGATTCACGTCGTGAACTTAAAATTCACGTCGTGACCTTGCGTAGGCACCAAGGCTTCACCTGGTGCTGACACGTGGCATCGGACGCAGATAAAACAGCCAATCTTAAAAAAATTCATAACTTTCGCATATGAGCTTCGTTTTTTTACGTTCTTTATATCCACACGTATGTATTCTACAACTTTCCTTTTGACCCCATTGGATAATTCTTGACCGATTTTAAATTTAACAGTCTGAGAAGATTACACTTTAACGACTATGTAAAATTCATAACTTCTACATATGGACTCCGTTTTCGAATGTCTTTTTATCGTTTAACTCCTATTAATGAGATCTTCAATTCTCATTTAGATCATTTTGGCTAAAAATTGACCGATCTAAAATTCGATTTGTGAACTGTATACTGCTATGCCAAATCTTAGAAAAATCATAACTTCCTCATACGAAGTCAGATTTGGATGTTCTTTTTATTTACGTTCTCGGTTTAATGCATACTACGACTTTCGTTTAGATCGCTAAGGCTAAAAAGAAATTTATCAAAAATTCACTTTTTATGTTACGCGGTGCTGTGTCGGTTTAGCCGTAATACTTCGACAGGTCATAACTTCTTCGTTATAACTCGGATTTCAGCGTTCTTTATATGTACAGAACTCTTGTGACATATACTATAACTTAGTTAAGATTATTTATTCTAAATAATATTCTATCAAAAAGTCGTTTTTGACGATCACTGTCTCTAAATTGACTAGCCCGAATCTGCGGGAGTTACATCGAAGTTTTCGTGGATGACATGGTCATCAAAAGCAAAGATGACAACCATTTCCTACAGGTTATAGCAGAAACCTTCAATAGTTTAAGAACGACAAACATGAAGTTAAATCCAGAGAAGTGCATTTTTGGGACGGAAGAAGGAAGGTTCTTGGGACATGTAATCACGAAGGTCGGAATAAAAGCAAATCCCAAGAAGGTAGAGTCATTGCTAGAAATGCGCTCACAAAAGACAATGAAAGAGGTACAGTCATTAAACGGCAAATTAGTAGCATTAGGATGTTTCTTGGCCAAATCCGAAGAAAATCTTCCCCTTTCTACAAAACACTAAGAAGATTATTGAATAAAAAGACTTTCTGGTGGACCGAGAAAGCTGAAAACTCATTCAGAGAGATCAAAATAACGTTATCCGAACTACCCACTTTGACACCGCAAATTCCAGGCGAGGTCTTAATAATATACCTTCCGACGTAAAAAATAGTAGCCAACGCAATATTAGTAGCAAACATGGAAGAAAGGCATACAATCATATACTTTGTAAGGTGAATACTACAAGCAGCAGAGATAGGATATTTAGACATTGAGAAATTGGCACTATGTCGAGTTAATGCAGCAAGATGATTAAGGAGGTACTTCTTAACGCACACTATCGAAGTCCTCATAAATATCCCATTACGAAAAGTGATACTAAAACCAGAGAAGTCAGGGAGACTAGCCAAATGGGATATGGAATTTGGAGAACATGAAATCGTCTTCAAACCATGAACTAGCATAAAAGAAAAGCATTAGCAGATTTCATCACGGAGATAACAAGTCACAGGGAGATATCGTCAGTAGATGAATCAAATGCTAAAAACATGAGCACCGAAGCTACACAAGGAAACCAATGGAATTTGTTTTTGGATGAGTCTTCTTGCACAGAATGAGCAGGAGCTGGATTAATATTAACAAGTCCAATAGGAGAAGAAGTAACTTACGTGTTAAGATTTGATTTCGAGGCGTCGAATAATGAGTAAGAGCACGAAGCACTCATTGCAGGATTACAACTAGCCATCAAAACGGGGTGTGAACACATACATGCTTTCATAGACTTAATGTTCGTAGCCAATCAAACAAACAGGTTATACGAGATTCGAGGAAAAAATCTAGCACAATATGCAGAAAAAGTAAAGTCATTAACAAAGCAATCCATGAGCTTCAGATTGGAACATGTACCGAGGTCAAAGAATAAACGACCGGACGCACTGATCAAACTAGCATATTCAACTTTCCCTCATCTGACCAAGAAAGTGTTGGTATAAATAGTATGAACAAAAGCAATAGATGAAATGCCAGTGATGTTAGTAACAACGGATACAAGTGATTGGAGGAAACCCCTAACCGCATACCTGAAAGAAGGCAAGTTACCACATGACGATAAACGGGACAGGAAATTACGAGTTAAAGAACCATCCTTTGTAGTAGATAAGGGAGTTTCGTATAAAAGATGATACTTAACACCTCTTTTACGTTGCGTAGACGGTAAGGAGGCGGAATACCTCATAAGGGAAATACATGAAGGAGTTGCTGGAGCACACGAATGGGCACAAACTATAGTACAAAAAATAGCAAGGATCGGCTACTATTGGCCAACTATGTATTAAGACACAGAAAGTATAATTTACAAATGCGAGAAATTCTAGAAGCATGCACCAATCCCAAGAAAATCATCAACACCAATGATTAGCATCAGTACCCCATGGCCTTTCATCGAGTGGGGTATAGATATAGTAGGGCATTTCCTAAAAGCACTAGGGAAAGTGAAATTATTGGTAGTCGCAATAGATTACTTCACCAAATGGGTAGATGCAAAACCGTTAGCTACGATAACAAGCCATAACATCGTCAAGTTGTTTTGGAAACAGATAATATGTTTCTTCGGGATACCACCCACACTAATTTCAGATAACGACACACAATTCGCAAATAATCCCTTCCGAGAATGGTGCGAAGGACTCAGAATCAACCAAAAATTTACTTCCATAGCACACCCAGAGACAAACGGAGAAACCGAGGTCACCAACAAAACAGTCGTGCATGGGTTAGCAACAAGACTAGACTAAGCTAAGGGGCGATGGGTTGACGAGTTACAATGTGTGCTATGGGCATACCGGGCAATAACACGTACGACAACAAAGGAAACACCTTATAGACTAGTCTACGGGTCAGAAGCACTACTACCATTGGAGTTAATTGTCCTAACAAACCGAACAACAAACGTGGACACGGAGACTAACGATGAAGACTTAAGAGCAAACCTAGATGTCTCCCTGGAACGAAAGAGAAGTAGCAGCAATACGACAGGAGCATTATAAAAAATAGACGGAGAATTATTACAACCAACGGGTCAAGGGCAGGTGTTTCAAGATAAGTGAGAAGGTACTAATGAATAATGAAGCTACCAGACAAGAGCCACATGGAAATTGAGACCAATATGGTAAGGTCCATACATAATTCAAGAGGCGACCAGAGATGGGTCATATATTATACAAACAATGGAGGGTGAGATAGTACCGAGACAATGGCATGTGAAAAACCTACGAAAGTTCTATATCTGAGTAAGCAAGGGAAAACATGTTGAACGATATGCGAACAAAGAAAATGAGAAATTAATTAAAGTTCGTATTGACTGCAAACGAAAACATATGAAAACAAAAAGGGTACGACTACTTCGTATATGGAAAGGACATAGGCTACTTGCTTATCCAAAGAATACATTTATTCTTTATAAAACATGTAGCTCGGTCAGCCGACTGCATTCATGAACAAGTCGAGTATCAGAACTCCGACATAGGCTACCTGCTTAGCCAAAGAATACATTTATTCTTTATAAGACATGTAGCTCGATCATACAACTACATTCACGAACAAGTCGAGTATCAAAACTCTGACATAGGCTACCTAGTTAGCCAAAGAATACATTTATTCTTTATAAAACATGTAGCTCGGTCAGCCGACTACATTCATGAACAAGTCGAGTATCAAAACTCCGACATAGGCTACCTGCTTAGCCAAAGAATGCATTTATTCTTTATAAAACATGTAGCTCGGTCAAATGACTACATTGATGAACAAGTCGAATATCAAAACTCCAACATAGGCTACCTGCTTAGCCAAAGAATACATTTATTCTTTACAAAACATGTAGCTCGGACAACCGATTACATTTATAAACAAATAAAATTTAGAATCTCCAACACATGCCACCTATTTACACTAAAGGATACACCAATGTTGCATAAAACACACAACTCAACGAATCTAGCGTACGCACAAAAATTTATACTCAAGCAAATCCATCTCAAAGTTTGAAAGTGCTGCCAACAGTTGCAAAGTGGTTACCCACCCTCGATAAGCATAATACCTTAGATACATTAAGCATTATAAAGACAATATAAAGGAAAGACAACTGTTCATAGCAAAAAATGCAAAAAAAAAAAATAGTCATACATCAGGGATCGGTTAGGGACGCAAACAATACAAAAAAATTGTTGCTTGCCAAAAATCCATAAAAGAGCATAACCGATCTACATCTAACAACATCGTCAAGATTTGGAGGCAAGATGAGCACGAAGTACATCGTTCTCACAAAGGCATGGCTCGTAGTCAGCTTCAACAACTGACATATGATTCTCCAACACGACAATCTTAGCCACAATGTCCTTATACCGAATAGATAAATCATCATACATTTCCCCAGCCTTCAACAACATCTCTTCACTAGCAAGCTTCGTACATTTGGCAACCCACAGATTAACCTCATCGGCAAGAAACCGATCTCACAAAGTTAACAACCCATCAAAGAACTTAAGCTCTTGTCCAAGAACGGTATATATGATATTCAGCACAGGCTATAAGACGACATGCCTCATCCAACTCCTCTTCAAACCAAACGCAAGAAGGTCAGCCATCTGCACACATCAGGAAAATAATACCGATACTACAAAGTTATAATAACAAGGATAAAAACATATATACACATGTATATATAACGACGAAACTACTAAAGAGAAAGAAAAAGTCTACATATCCGCCGACTTTGGAGCATCATACTCTGAAGGCAAAGAAGATACATAACGAGGGCCATGGGAAACCTCGCATAAAAATTGTTCAAATTGGAGAGGTGTTAAAAGCCGTTTGCGTTTCCGACTAGTACAAGGAATATCTGTGAACACACCGTCCACAGAACGAGAAGAACCAACGTGTGAGGGAGCAATCAAAGGACAACAAGGCTCGAAAAGTTGATCAACAGAAAAATCAGCTGGACCAAACCCCAGAAGTCTAATAGAAGAGTCAGGAATGACAATCATTGGGTCCACATCTGGGTCTGGAATCACATCGTCCAACATAATAGCTTTAGGATGAAATTCACCAGCCAAATATGACGTCAATTGAAAAGGGTATTTACTACCATCTACAACATTAAATAAACAAACATAAAACATGCCAAAACAACATTTATACAGGAGATTACATGAAACAAAAGAAAAAAGAACCCATACCAAATCTAGTAAGAGACATAAATAGATAGACAAACTTGCATGTCGAACAAATAAAACTGGCAGTTCACATCGAGTTTTCCAAAAAGGACACATGTGACACAAGGCAAGTACAACTTCTGGCAAATACAATCTCTTTACAAAAAAATGAGAAAATAAGGGTACATAAGAGGATATATTATCAGATAAGAACACGGGATCGTCACCAAGAGGAACATAACGAGGAACAAATGGGAGACATAAGCTATGCATATCTACCCAGCAGAACCTACTCTTCTAGCTACCATTGGCACGACCTAAATTGGGAGGGAGAGAGAGAGAGAGAGAGAGAGAGAGAGAGAGAGAGAAGTGACGACTGATAAAGGAATACCAGTCACCATACCTTTTCAAACGATAAAAATGGCAAAAACAATGCAACACCGAGTGGTATTTTATGGGCCACATAGAAGACCTCGAAAGTAAGTACTTTCGACACAACATTAAGGCATAGTTGCACGAGATGAACTTTATAAAAACTAAGCACCTCTAATAAGAAGGAAGATGGAGGCAACCTTAAACCACAAACAAGATGCTGAAGATAAAACCCAACATTACCAAACGGGTCATCAAGAACAGATGATGACGGAGGTGGAAGTTGAAAACCAAGTATGGGAGACAAATGATATTCATACGTATATCGATCAAGCATATGGTTATCCACTTTAAAAACAATTGTGGAGATGTCATCACCCGTGGCAACCATGATGTGATAGTCATAAGGGAATAAAAAATATAAAAGCTTCTAACAAACAAGGCTTATCCATTAAATAACAGGAAAAACCGATTAAAGCATTTATTAAGGGCAATCCAATCAAAGCAGAAGAAATGGTGTCCGACGGCGCAAGCATTTAATGTGCCCCATGCTCAGGACGTTTCAGTACCAAAGGCGGATCTTCAAGTCTGAACGACAAAAATATTTGGTCAACATTCTTTTACCCTTCTGGGTGACTTAATGGTGTACCCGGGTCGGTAATCCGAGAGAAACCAAAACCGGTCCGGTACTTAGAAGGTCGGACATGAAGAAACTACAGTGTGTCATAAACGAATCTAAACTCAAGTAACCATGCACGAATCTCAGATACATATCCCAGGAAACATGCAAAAAAGAGGATACGGAGTAATAAAATAATAAAAGGACAAAAGGCGTGACTGCTTACAAACCGGGTAATAAATGAAGAATTGGACCGAACTGTAAACCCATGAAACCCCGAAAAGCCTATAAATACCTCAGAGACACGTGAGAAAAAGAGAAGCAAGAAACATTACACGTAACACCATAGAACATTTTATTTCGTAATCTAACTTAGGCATCAGAGAGTAATATTGGGGTTCAACCCTCGGTATAGCTATTTGACCTAGTTTCTATCCATCTTATGCAGAGTGGATTCTCAGATGTTTATTAGACAAATATCCCTGAGGGATAGAGCTAAACATGCACATGGAGTTCACCATAAAAAGTAACTTTGTTAATCCTTTTGGTTTTCTTCCTCAAATAACATCCTAATTTTAACGTAACCAATTGCAAAATTTTACTTATTTCATGATCATTCAAAACGATAACTTGACACATATCCATCGTACCAAAAACAAAGGATACACTTACAACTATTTACCCTTAAGACGATTTAGTCCTTAAAATCACGTCTTAGTCCATAAAATTCAAGCACCTTCTTTTTAAGTCCTCTTGACTCCCAAATGTGATCGGGCTCGTTGTTGCGCTTCCATTTTGCAAGCGCCGAGTATCTTTATTTCGTAGCTTGTTTGCCTTGTTCAATATAATAGCTTTGGGTTCTTCAAATGATTTCATTTGAGGCTTTTCCTTTCAATGCTTATCAGTTTATCTCATCATTCTTATCCAAGTCCTCTTTAGGTAACATAAATAGAAAATGTTTTAGTGGTTAAAACTCTAAATTTTTGGATACCTACATATAACAAAGCTAAAAGTTAGTTATCATTTAATAAAAATATTTTAATTGAGTTGTATGTCATCATCAAATTAGACAAGTTATATTTTACCTGATTTTAATATAAATAGAATAAAAATAAAACTTTAATGATAAAATATCTTTGTAGTTTTTTTTTTTAAATAGGAAGCCTGGAACCTAGTTACTATTTAATAGCATTAACCTTATAAAATAATGAAGTTCAATAGTTCATGAAGTATCATAGAATTGAAAAAAAAAAATTAGAAATTGATATTTTATAGGAGAGTTTTATCCGGAAAAGTCTCATTATTTTAGAAAAAAATTTATTAAAGTTTTAAAAGTTTTCTTTTGAACAAAAAAATCTCATTATTTTAAAAAAATTACATAATCTATCATTTTTTGTTAAAAAAAATAAAAAAAAGACTTTTTCATTAATTTAGAAAAAATATTAAATACTCTGTTCAAAAAGAACTTTTAAGATTTTTTTTTTTTTTTTTCAAAATAATAAAATTTTTAAACATTAAACCATTTTATACAAAAGGAGAATACATTAAGGCGTGTGTGAGATACTTCGTTAATAAAGAGGTATATTTGTAAATTGCAATCAACCGTTTTGTTGAGGAAGTGATTGAAAGTTCGACAAAACAAGCAACGTGTTTTGACTTTGAAGACTTGCTGGGACATTAGGGTTTTAGAGACTATGGCGTCAGGGTTTTAGGGACGCTGATGATGAAGCAGTCGTTTTATGGTGCTCGATATCATCCCTCTATCTTTGATATTCTTGATGCCCGTAAGTGTTTCTTTTCACCCATATTCTTTAATTGTTTTTCTACATTTGCTGCTTCCAACAACCGAAATTGTAAAGAAGGTACTAAAATCAAAACCCTAAAAGATGCAGTTTATAAGTTTAATCATATGTTCTATCGTAATCCTGTTCCCCCTATCCAAGAATTCACTAAGGTCTTAGCTTTTATTGTCAACAAGAAGCAATATGCTGCTGCAATTTCTCTGATTAAAAAATATGACTTCTTAGGAGTCGACCCTTTTCTAAAGCCCACCATTTATGTCTTCAACATCGCAATCAATTGTTTTTGCCACTTGAAAAGAGTGGATTTAGGATTCGTTGTGCTGGGGAAAGCCACGAAACTTGGCTATGGTCCTGATTGTGCGACATTTAATACACTCATCAGGGGACTCTGTGCTAACGATAACCTTCATCAAGCAATCAAATTATTCAAACAAATTGTGGAAAACGGGTTTGAACTAAGTGTAGTAACTTATGGAACATTGATAAACGGTCTTTGCAAATCAGGAAATACTAATGCTGCTATCCAATTGCTCAGACAGATGGAAACATCTACATGTAAACCCATGATTATCCAGTATAGCACCATCATAGACAGCCTCTGCAAGAATAAACAATTTGAAGAAGCTTTGAAGCTTTTTTCTGAAATGAACACAAAAGGCATTTCACCAAACGTGGTAACTTACACTTCCTTAATTCACGGTTTGTGTAATTTACACTCATGGAAAGAAGCAATGAGATTGCTAAGTGAAATGCTTGCTAAAAACATCTCACCTAATGTACACACATTTACCACTTTACTAGCTGCTATGTGTAAAGAAGGGAGAGTAACTGAAGCCCAAATTTTGCTTACATTGATGATCCAAAGAGGTGAAACCCCCAACACTGTCACATTCAATGCATTGATGGATGGTTACTGTTTACTTGGGAAAGTAGACACTGCTAGAAAGCTGTTTGACTCCATGGTTGACCAAGATTGCACGCCTTCGGTTATCAGTTACAATATCTTAATCAATGGGTACTCTGAAACCGAAAGAATTGATGAAGCCTTGAATGTTTTTCAAGAAATGTCCAAGAAAGGTACTGATCCTAATCTTAGAACATACAATATACTCATTGGTGGTTTATGTCATGTGGGCACACTTGATAAGGCACTTATGCTTCCTGTTGAAATGAAATCTCATGGTTTAAATCCAGATATTGTGAGTTACAATACTATATTAGATGCACTTTGTAAGAACAGAAGACTTGATGAGGCGTTAAAGTTGTTTAAAAATCTTGATGGTGATGGTGTTGTTCCTGATATTGTTACATGCAATTGCCTGATTGATGGTATGTGTAAATCTGGGGAAACTGATCATGCATATGAGTTCTTTTTAGGTCTTTCTGCTAGAGGCTTGAAACCTAATGTTCGTACATATAACATTATGATTGATGGATTCTTGAAAATGGGTGAACTTGATAAAGCAAATATGTTGTTTCTTGAAATGAAAGAAAATGGTTGTCCAGCAGATGAGATTACATATAAGATTATGGAGCAGGGATTTCTGAGAGTGAATGAAACGAGTAAAGCTGTTGAATTTATGATCAATGGATCACTCGAGACAAGTTTCTCTGTGGATGCAATGAAGTTGTTAATTAGATTGTTGTCAACCAAGGAGTTAAAGGATTCTTCCAGCTAACCTTGTATATGTTGGGATTAATTTGCAAAAAGAAGGAAAGTTGAGTGGGCGAAAGTGAAATTTTGGAAATAGAATTGGGGTTGAAATTTTAAAATACTCTCCATGTACATAAGGTATAGCAGCAGTTTCTAACTTTCTATTAAGTTTTACAAGTTTATATTTTTTATATGATTATGTTAGGGAATTGTGTTTAGCACCAAATTAATTTAACCGTTCCAAAAAAAAAAAAAAAAAGTAAAGCTATACCTTTGCGATTCCAGTTATTTGTTTTTACACAAAATGTTAAAATACGTGTGGTTTTGAAAATAGTATTTTGACACGGTTTTCGGTTTCCATAAAATCACTTATAAGTTGTAACAAAAAGTTTGGCAAAACTGATTCTGATTATTTCTTATAGGGAATAATTATATTTGACAAAACAAGTAATGAGTTAACGTGAAAATAAATGTAAGTTATGCCTCAAAACATGACGAGTCTTACTACGGTGAGCATTTGGATTGGACCGGACCATACCGGTTTTACAGAAATTGGTGGACCTCGGACGGGACGTGTTGAGGCTTAACAGGTCCGGTTCTTGGTTCTTGGACGTAAATGTAAGCATTTGGACCGGACCGGACTGATTTTTGGACCAAACCTGTTTGGTGGACCTTTGACCGAATCTGTAGAGGCCTACCAGGTTCGGTTCCCAGTCTAATCCGGATGTCCAAATCCTCACTCCTAAGTCTTAGAGGGTGTTTGGGATTATATTTTGAACTTCAAAAGGATTTTTAGGTAAAAAAAACTATTGATTTAAGGTGCTGAGACAATGAGGTTTT